TGCTGGATAGATACATTTCTCAAAATCTGTCCCGATAAAGAAACAAACTCATCTACATCTTGATTGGCTTGAGGGTCAGTCAGTTTTCAACAGATTTATTTTTTGGAGAAACTACTCCTTTAAGCCCTTGTAGATGAGATTATCAGGCATGTCAGTGAGTGCATTTACATCTTTTTAAGTACCTTGTTTGTGGCTTATAAATAGATCTGACTAAGCAGCTTTCAAACTTTTCCTATTTTAATGCCCATTATTCAAGATACTTTCTTCAACTGCACTCTGACACAATGGAGACAAGCTGATGCAATCCTTCTTACTCTGCAATGTCCCTATAGGCAATGCTATAGAGAGAGTCTATACATTACAGAATCTGTCAGTGAGAAAAGAATTCATACCACTTAAATGTAAAACATTAATTATTTACAGCATGAGTTCCATTCACACAGACCCTAGAGGATCAGTGTGAGCACAATAATGAGAAGATACAAACCCTAACCATCAAAAATGGCCCCCAGTACACAAATGCATACATAACAGTCACATTTTTGACTACAAATAGTCAACAGGCACTTGAGGTCCTTATTTCTTTGATCATTCTGCGATGACATGTGGCGTGTCTTGGCAAAGTTTATAGATAATCACAACAGCGCTGATGAAAGGGAAAAAAGATTTGTGATAAAAGTGATGTTTTCTAATTTCTTTTTTTTTTCACTCTTTTTTTCTGGGAAGAGCACACTGTGTTTTGAGATGTCAGTGAGTCTTTCATGTACTGAGATACACAAACTTGCATTGTTGAGAAAAATACTAACAAGTGTAGCTGGGCTGAACAAAGGATTTGTATATGAAGCCATTAGGGGGAGAGATCAAACAGAGCTGTTTATCTCTCCTGTCACTGTAGGAAGAGGCTAACATTCATTAATGATGTATAAATTTCTCAAAATCTGTCCCGATAAAGAAACAAACTCATCTACATCTTGATTGGCTTGAGGGTCAGTCAGTTTTCAACAGATTTATTTTTTGGAGAAACTAATCCTTTAAGCCCTTGTAGATGAGATTATCAGGCATGTCAGTGAGTGCATTTACATCTTTTTAAGTACCTTGTTTGTGGCTTATAAATAGATCTGACTAAGCAGCTTTCAAACTTTTCCTATTTTAATGCCCATTATTCGAGATACTTTCTTCAACTGCACTCTGACACAATGGAGACAAGCTGATGCAATCCTTCTTACTCTGCAATGTCCCTATAGGCAACGCTATAGAGAGAGTCTATACATTACAGAATCTGTCAGTGAGAAAAGAATTCATACCACTTAAATGTAAAACATTAATTATTTACAGCATGAGTTCCATTCACACAGACCCTAGAGGATCAGTGTGAGCACAATAATGAGAAGATACAAACCCTAACCATCAAAAATGGCCCCCAGTACACAAATGCATACATAACAGTAACATTTTTGACTACAAATAGTCAACAGGCACTTGAGGTCCTTATTTCTTTGATCATTCTGCGATGACATGTGGCGTGTCTTGGCAAAGTTTATAGATAATCACAACAGCGCTGATGAAAGGGAAAAAAGATTTGTGATAAAAGTGATGTTTTCTAATTTCTTTTTTTTTGGGAAGAGCACACTGTGTTTTGAGATGTCAGTGAGTCTTTCATGTACTGAGATACACAAACTTGCATTGTTGAGAAAAATACTAACAAGTGTAGCTGGGCTGAACAAAGGATTTGTATATGAAGCCATTAGGGGGAGAGATCAAACAGAGCTGTTTATCTCTCCTGTCACTGTAGGAAGAGGCTAACATTCATTAATGATGGTTTAAATTAAGGCCAAAAAAGTGCAGAGGTTAGTTAGTGTAACCCCTCTCTCCCGGGTCCTCACCGCCACACCTCGTTCTTGTTTCCGAGTGGGTCTCGAACCCGGGTCTCCAGCATGGGAGGCGGATGCACTAACAAGGAGGCTAAATGACTGCAGCCACTAGCGTCTAGTGAGGTTTAGCTTCTTGGTCTCACCTGCAGTCCTTCGGTTCCAGGCTGTTGGAGTAGTTTGACCGTTCGGCCGCCGGCTGTTTTGCGGCTGTGCCCTTCATGCCAGGTAAGGTTTCCACCTGCACAACGACTCAGCTGGTACTTAAAGTCCTCTGGAAGAGCCCTGTACTCCACCGCAGGACGACAGAAAGTAAAACTGGAGGCCGCTGCAACAGAAAAAGAGAGATTCGGCATTTATTCATTCATTTAAAAACAAATTCCATCATTCTTTCTTACATTCTGACTTCCCTCTTCAGAAAGACACAGATATGTGCAGCAGCAGCAACCTGGCATCAGGATGACTAGTGCCTTGTAGTGATGTCCATCAAAAATGCTGTGGTTACAGGTCAGTTTGAGGACTGGAGTTTAAGAGAAGAGTTTAAGGTTTAGGCTTAAGTAAAAGCAAATAAGAAATGTTTGAATGACCCATATCTCCTGAAGCTGACTGGGTGGGTTGGATTCTTCCCAGAATAATACCTAAAGACACTAGTCAGCAAAGTTAATGGGAAAATTATGCATTAGCGTGTCAGAGGGTGATAAAAAAAGCAGAGCATTGGTAGCCCATGGGGTAATCTAATGAAAAGCATATGAGGCTCCAGATTTCCAGGAAGGAAAACTTTAAGTGCTGCTAAATACCGAACGTTTTAGAAACATCGGTTCTTGCTGAGCTAGACAAAACTAGCATTTGCAATTCATGAAACAGTTAACAGAAAATATAATTAATAAAGACGTCTGCTAGGATCTAACTGGTACAAAATGTGCTTTAAAGGAATAGTAGACTTTGGTTCTTTTGTGGAACACAAAAGAATACATATTGAAAAATGCTTCAGTGTTGTTTTTGGCAGGGTTATTATAGTTAACTAAAACTAAAAAATGTATATAATTAGGTTTTGTTATTATGTTTAGAAAAAAAAAATGTTGCTAAGTGTTTTACTAAATAAAATGAAATAAAAATTAATACATGATACTAAAATATCACTACAGTTTTTGGAACCCACTGCCTTTCATTATATGAACATAACAGCTAAAAACAATTCTTCAAAATATCTTTGTTTGTGTTCCACAAAAGAATGAGTAATTCAGGTTTGGAACAACATGAGTAAATGATGACAGAATTTTCATTTTTAGGTGAACTATCCCTTTAACACACAAGAAGACAGTGTATATACATTTAACTGTGAGAGCAAAACTATGAAATAAATGTGCATATTTCTAAAAGCAATACAGCAGACTAGCACAGCACAGTTTCGCTTGACTGGTGACTGTAAATGAGTCAGTGGGCAGCATAAGCAGATTTTCTTCCAGAAGCTGCGTTAGGCTAGTGCATTAACAAACAAAGACAGAGACAGTGAGCGTATGTGCTCATTAAAACCTCAGACTTCTAATCACCACCTTAGTCTTAGCACAAATGAGTACAATCAGTCATCTCTGTGCATGACAGTTTGTGTGATGGAAATATATCTCCATATGTGTGTATGCATAAGCACGAGTTGATGAGAGGGAGAGACTATAAGTTTGTGTGTGTGTTGGAAGGTGGAGGCCTGGATGAGATAAAAGAGATGTCTTTTGCTCTTGTTCCCTGCAGCCTCACAGGCGGCTACAAAGGCCGTCCTCATCAAGAGTGCATGGGGGATGCCTGCCTGTGTGAATGCATTTGGGATGGAGTCACAGATGAACACAGTCTTTCATCACAGTGCCTCTGAAGCAGACATTAGAGAGATGTCGCACAACAGTGGCTGGAGGGTGAAAACACGCCAAGGCCTGTTAGTCCTGGACAGATGTTGCCCTTGTTTCTATTTATTTCTGCACAAAAAGATGTGCTTCTAAATCTAGAAACAGTATATCCTCCTGAAACCTTATTCTTGACCCACTAACGGGAAAATGGAAAAGTCTATAGAAAGCAGAGTTTTATATGTACATTTGCATTCAGGTCTGTAAGATTTTTTTAATGGTTTTAAAAAGAAGTTTCTTATGCTCACCAAGGCTGCATTTATTTGAGAAAAAAAAAAACAGTAAAACAGTAAATTTTGTAAAAAAAAAATATTTAAAAACAACTGTTTTCTATTTGAATATATTTTAAAACATAATTTACTGCTGTGCTGACAACACTGATTTTTCAGCAGCCATTTCTCCAGTCTTCAGTGTAATATGTAATATTATATTGTAATATGCTGCTTTGTTTAAGAAACATTTCCTATTATTATCCAGAAGAAGTTCAGAAGAACTGCGTTGATTTGAAATAGAAATATTTTGTTTCTTATGCTCACCAAGGCTGCATTTATTTGAGCAAAAAAAAAACTGTAAAACAGTAAATTTTGTAAAAAAAATTTTTTTTAAAAACAACTGTTTTCTATTTGAATATATTTTAAAACATAATTTACTGCTGTGCTGCTGTGCTGACAACACTGATTTTTCAGCAGCCATTTCTCCAGTCTTCAGTGTAATATGTAATATTATATTGTAATATGCTGCTTTGTTTAAGAAACATTTCCTATTATTATCCAGAAGAAGTTCAGAAGAACTGCGTTGATTTGAAATAGAAATATTTTGTAACATTATGCATGTCTTTACTGTCACTTTTGATCAATTAATGGGTCCTTGCTGAATAATGGTCTTAATTTATTTCAAAAAATCTTACTGACCCCAAACTTTTGAATAAAAGTGTATGTGGTTCTTGTATCAAAAATCTAATCTATGTTCAAGGTTGTAACCAACTTAAATTATTCTTAGATGAATATTCATAGTGGTATACCAGTACAGTCCAGTGGCTAATTTGTAAAAAGAGTAATTTATTTATTGATACAATCATGTAGCTCCAAAAAAACTATTTTTTTATTCTGTAAAGCACAAACAAATTGCTAAATGAGCAATTTAGCAAAATGTTCATGTTGCTCTATTCCATAAAACGAAATGGTGACCAGATGTTGTCCATCTCCAGACTTGACAAACAACACCAATAGCAATTTTTTGTGTCATTTTCATTCACTGTATGGAAAAAAGCAGCATCACCATCTCCATTTGTTGTCTACAGAAGAAATAAAATGGTATGAGTTCAGAATCACATGAGTGTGAGCACATGATGACACAACTTTCATTTTTAGGTTAAACTATTCCTTTAAACTATTACATTTGAATATCATGAATACGTGGTTACAGCCAGGCTTTTTTCATTGCATGTGTCAATCAAAAAAGTGAATCTAAATCCATATTTTATCTAGAGATCCATCATCCATGACAGCTCTTCATTCCCTGAAACAATTAAATCCAGGCCAAGGTGTTTTTCTCACCTGCCGTACCCACTGGACTGAACTAACGATGTGGTCTCTTGTGAGAAACCAAGCAAGTGTGCCAGAGATCTCCAAACAGCATGAGGGGTTTGGACTTTAGGGAAGGGAGAGAAACACAACATCTGTGTGAAGTAATGAGCTACAGACTGAAAGAGAGAGAAATGTGGAGCTGTAGCTGCTTCAGATCTGTTTGGCCTCATCTATGCTGATGAATGCGAAAATGAATATGCAAGCCTTCATTAACGTGGTGTAGTGACACAAACTGCTCAGCAGGTAACTGGTTTAAAACTACAGAGATTGAAGACAGTTTCATGGTGTTCTGAGATTGCATACAGTTCTAGGTTTGAATGTGTGAGGGAAAAAGATAAGAGTTTTTTGAGGTTTTCAAGGACATGTTGAAACGTGGAATGGTGTGCAGGATTTTGTCAATGAGAAGCCATTATTACAAGTCAACACCTTTCAATTTACACACACACACACACACACACACACACAAATCACAAAATGTTCAAAGAAACAGATAGGCTAATTCTTTACTCAGACTTCACAACATATCAATAAACCAGTTATTTTGGCATTATATACTCATAATGGAGAGCCGGGGAAATAAAAAAAATAAAAAAAACATTATTGCCTGCTTATTAGAGTCACGAGTTTTCGTTAAGCAAATATTAAGAGCAAATAACTCAATTCGAAATTCATTTGAACTGATTCAAAATACAAGGCTGTGACCCTGAACACACTGAACCCCAAAAACTGATGAGCCATCATACACATATTAGCAGACTGTCAACATGCTTAATTCTTTAAAACCAACTATGTCACCAGGTACAGGCTATTTTATCCTGAGCAGATGCTCAGATAGCTGTTGCAATTACAACATTAATATTTCATTCAAATTATATGATATATTCAAACTTATATAATCAGGAAATTAAAAAGAGAATATTATTCTGGGACAGCAGATACATCGAATCATCTCTAGCTTGCAACGTACTAACGACTACGATCATCTTTATGAATAAAATTTCGTTAATATGCATAATTACCGTCTACTGCCATGTCAACAATCCAGACTCTGCAACAAGAAACAATACTCCTGTTAGATTAAAAGTTGGGAACTGAGGTGTCCCATTTTCCGCCCTGGGCGCCTTGAAAGGTGTTTCTTTAGCAGGTACATCCAGTGTGTAGAGATCGACTCACGCGCTTGACAGTGTAAAATATGAAAGTATACACATCGCGCGCTGCTCATTCTCACACGGGCGCCTCCCCACGCGCACTGTTCACTTCAACCAGCTCTGTTATGAAGCTTTTCATATTCTGTGAAGAAACGCCTCTTTATTACATAATGTATGTAATATATTTTAAATGTACGATCTCTTAAATAAAATAAATGAAACATACTAAGTATGTTATAGCCTATAGTCTATCATAAATAAATATCATGTGATCGCACGCAACCTATATAAAATGGTATTTGCTAAATTGACTCTTAAATCTACACATTTTTAAAAAGTAAGTAAAATATGCAATTCATGTGGAACCCCCTAGAATCGTGTATTAGGTTATTTCTAATCGTTATATTTGTCACCAAAGGGGTGTTTCGTGAGAAACAGTCGTCTGATTCTCTCTCACGTCCCAGTGAGAGAACGCAAAGCTTGTAATTATGTGAACTGCAAACATACACATTAGGGGATGTATTTATGTGACCCTTCAAATATTTCATCAAAATAATTTAAAATCCCTGTATTGTTAGTTTTATTGACTTATTGACTAGAATTATGCATGAATGCCTGTATTATATCCTACACTAATGTTTATAAAACGATTTTAAAATCTTAGATATTTTCTTCTTGCAATATAAACACTAGAGGGAGGCATTTCACCTCAATTCTCTCAGCAAATCTTCAACAAGAACCTCGCCTAAACCCAATTGTACGGGTTCTGAGCAGAAGTTTGTAGGTTTGCTACTAGCAGTGTTGGGGGTAACGCATTACAAGTAACGCGAGTTACGTAATCAGATTACTTTTTTTCAAGTAACTAGTAAAATAACGCATTACTTTTTAATTTATAAGAGAATATCTGAGTTACTTTTTCAAATAAGTAAAGCAAGTTACTTTTTCCCCCCCAATTTATTGATTGACAGCTCTCCTGTCCCCATGTGGAGAGAAATCAGAAGATGTTACTGTAGTTCTAAAATAAATATGAATATGCATGAATTCATCTCACTCGCAAAAAAACAAACAGATTCAGTATTCCTCAAAATGAATAAAAAGAATGCAACTCAGAATATGACACAAACCTGCAATAATTCAATGTTAAACAACACAAATATCCTTTATGTATTTAATCCCATTCTATTAACCAATGTTTTTGCTTCTGACCTTCGATGATCCAGTTCAACCATACTAATAAGCAAAAATTACTTTTTTTTTTTTTTTAGTCTTTGTTTATTGCTGAAGTGTGTTGAAATGTCTTCTTCTGCATTCTGTACGGGCGTAAATGTACTTTCCCTTCAGCCTGAGGCTTATTCATTTCGCTTTTGGTGTGAAAAGGCTTTTATATTTGCCAAAATATAACTTTTTTATAAACAAACAAGCAATCCCTGTCCAGATTTAAAAAGTAACGCAAAAGTAACGTAACGCATTATTTTCCATAAAAAGTAACTAAGTAACGTAATTAGTTACTTTTTTATGGAGTAACGCAATATTGTAATGCATTACTTTTAAAAGTAACTTTCCCCAACACTGGCTACTAGTTTGCAAAAACAGTCCTCCTGTGAGTATCAGACCTACACCGGAATATGCATTAATAACGTAAACAGTACCCACGTAATAACCAGCTGCATCCCCTGAGGTTCAGTCGGTGGATATTTTTCTATCCAGTCAGATCTCGGGAGCGAAGGACTGTCAGATTTGAAAAGTTTAAAAATATAAGAAATGGAACAGGGGGCTCTTTTTAACCCCTTAACTGTCACCGTCCCACCTGTGGGATGTTTGGCGCTCTTTTTTGTTGTTGTCTTCTTTCTCTATCAAATCTTTTAGTAATCATCATAAATCATATATCATTTGAAAGCTTAGAAGCCCAAGATTCATCCTGTGAAAACCATTTCGAAATCAGACATTGCGTTACCATGGAAATGGTACTTTAAAATCTTTTGGCGGTCTCCTCCCCCTTAGTGGGCAGTGTCAAGTGTCATATTACAAAATGAATTACGGTCTTTTAAAATCAAAACTTTTTATAATCTTGACAAAAAACATATAATTGGAAAGGTCTGAGTCTCAGGATTCCATATTTGGTCGATATTTTGAGATAGAAGTAATATTGATAAAGAAATCTAGACATTTGTGACAGAAAAATGCATAAAAAAAATTCAATGGAGTTTGGATGGCACCCGGTGGCTGCTTGTGGTATAACGCCCTAAATAAAATCTCACAGGAACCTCAATTGTTTTCATATCAACTTCAAATTTGGAACATAACTTATTTAGACATAAGGCTATAATTTTATACCAATTTTAGAGTAAAACCTGATATGTAAAATATTTATTATATATAAAATAAAATAAAATTAATATAGTGCATTTTCTTTACAGTAAATTTAAACTACTATAACTTTTTGATACTTAAATTTTTCCACAGAAAAAATTCCACTTTTGCGATAATTTGCTGATTTTCTTCTTTAAAAAGAGACCAACCTTATGTCTGTATTCCAAAGTGTTCATAAATTACAACAATTTAAGTTTGGATAGTGCACCTGCATGCCTATTTTAAAAAATGGGGGGTGACAGTTAATACAGTTAAGTTGTGCGTCGTCGTTACACTATGCTTGCTTAACGCCACCCATTCAAATTACCCTTGCAGTTGTTTGCACGTTATCGGTCAACATCCGGGTCAGAAGAAAGTTCTTCAATTTCAAGAAACTTTACCGAATACTGTAGGCCTACATGCAGTCCTCAAACCATTCAGACACTTTTAGACATCAGTGTGTTGTTTGCAACCTATATACACAGGCACTACTTTAAAACACCTTACAGTTAAAATTACAATAGGTCTATCAGCTTAAATCAGACTCTCAAAAAATACTTTTAAAACGAACAAAAATGCAATTATTCAATCATTCATATGTGGGCAACCCTGAATTTACCATCAGTATACATTATACATTGACACAGATAATTTGCTTTAAATTAAAATCTTCTTCTTAATTAACAAACGTTAGTCATGTGAAATACACACATTTGAAGTGTATTTAATAAAGATAACTGACTAGGGAAACTTGAAATGTTATGTTTGTGTGATTGCGCATTATAGTAGTCTACTTGTTGGGCCATGGGGTTCCGTCTATAAAGGCTTGTCCTGGGCCCTGGGAGTTCAAGTGATGGCCCTGAACAGCACTTTAAAAAATCGTATCCTTCTGTCATTTCTGTCATCACTGTTAAAATGATAATAGTGACAGTATTATCATCCAATATTGAATTTATATTGGTGGGGGGGGGGGGGGGGGGGGGGTTATGCGGAATAAATGGCAGACTATAAATTTGTCCCCTCTGACTTTAAGTAGTGTTGTCATGTATGAAAGTGAAGTAGCATCACTGATAGAATCTGAGGGCAAATTAGCCCTCTCTACTAAAGTATTCTCTCTGTTTTGCTTCTCTGTTGTGCTGAGATGTTTTCTTTTCATCTTTCTGAATTGTTGTATTTCAGAAATATTGTTGTGGAATAGCCTATAGGCTTATGATTTAAATTTCAGTATCATATCTGTAAAACTTTGATATAATATCTGTAAACTTTAAACTTTTGATGAGATGTTGAGATTATAGTGAATCCAAGAAAGTTTTACTCCAAGCTCTGTACTGAGTTCTATACATTTGTCTTGCAGTTTTGGTGAAAAGAGAAGAAACTGATTTGGTTCTGGACAGAGAACAAACATTCTCAGTCTTGTTTCCGTAAGTTTCAGTGTGGTGGAAAGGTGCCAGGCATCAGCCACACTTCACACCAAACATAACAGTCTTGAGCAGACAAACACACAGTTGACTTGACTGATTTCACCACTAGGAGTTGAATGTGGATGGTTGGTGCTAATATTTTAACAGACAAAGACAACGGAAAAAATGCTAGAAAATTAAAGAGAAATAATAATTATAATAAATATAATAATAATAAATCATCTTTATGTCCATGTCAAAGGCCTTACTAAAACTTTTGCTCATGGTTTCTGTCCCCTTAAAAAGAACATTTGACCCCGCACACACCCCATAGCCTATTTACCATGTTTTGTGCTCTTTAAATCAATCACTAGTTTTGGCTTCTACAAGGTGCAAATTGTGATTGAAATGAAAAGGGCTCCACCCTGCTTGAGGTGTAACACATCATTACACCTGATGAATGCAGGTTCAGCCCACTAATGAATACAGAACAGCATTATGAGAGTTTGAGGCCTGAACAGCTGGCTCATTGTGATGTCATGTCCTGTGGACCTCCTGGGTGGAGGTGGTTGTGAAGAATGGTGTATGTGTGCCCGGTGTGGTAGTGGAAAGCCAGTGCCAACAACATACTGTGCATGTTTTGTCAAACAGTTGGTGAATGATATGAGGGTGGTGTCACACAGACAAACATACTTAACATTCGGGAGTCATTTCTTTAGAAAGCCATTTGAAACAAGCCAGAGCTATGGCATATGGTCTTTTAAAAAGACCTCACTTACAAAGTTGTACATTTTTAAAGGATACTGAGCAGTCAGACACACATAATAAACCAAGACAGGGTGATCAGGACACCAACGTGAAGCAGAGGTTTGAATCATCCTCAAGGTCTTTGCTTTGTTAATGACATCGACATGAAATATTGATTTGAGATGAAATTTCTTTATTTTTTGAGAAAAAAAGGGAGTGTGGAATGATATGAGCATGTCTGAATTTTTAACTGGTGTTTCTTTACCTCAAAATTAACAGATTTAAAATTGTTATTTTTTATATGAGCGGCACATTAATAACCGTCTATAACTTCACCCAGACCTAGACTTTGAATCTGACAGACTTTGAAACTTACAGACAATTAAACATTGACAATTTGTATCATTTTGCTAAATAAGACTTCATTTAAACAATTAATCTCCACATCCAGTCCCATGCAAAGCAT